AAAAAAAAAAAAAAAAAAAGATCTGCACTGTTAATTAAAAAAAAAAAAGTAAAACTTTTTGTATGAAGAGTCGCATGCAGATAACGAACAAGGAGAACTCTAGCTGTTCATAGGTGCTCAAATATTCTCAATGAGGCCTAACAGTGGACAGAATAGATAAAACAAAAAAATTAGGTTTTTTACTTATAAAGAGAGGAAACTACAAACCCCATCGATTTCTAGGGGAAAAAAACAAAAAGACTTACAGAGAAAGCGAAAGAAAACAAGTTGGAAGTCAGATCTAACCTTGACGCTAAATATCTTTCGCTTGGGAGAAAATCCTCAGAGTGAATATTAGGTAAACTGTTATACCTCTCTCGATAGGAGGACTAGGTCTATGATGAGTCTTCGTCCAAGCGGAACAAGGCATTTTTCCAAAAAAAAAATAGAAAAAGAAAAGAAAATGAAAAGCCCACTGCATTTAATAAAAGGAAATATACCAAACCACGAACTACGTCTGCTTTACGTCACCTTGCACACGTGTCAACATCTTGAGAGTCGGTGTTTTCTAGTATAAAAAGGACCCCTCTCAGAGCATCTTTAATGCAAGATTGCTTATAAGGGTGGCTTATTTATTTTCTAATGGTTTTTAATAGAAAAAGTGATTTAAGCCATCCTAATAAGCAACCCATAGATTTAATAAGTGCAATGCAAGGCTCTTATTTTAGGGTTCTTAAAAAATTGAAAGAATTAAACATATTTAAAAAAAACTTAGAATTATTTGATTAAATAAAACATACTAAAAGATTACATTTTAAACATAAGATTTTTTTTTAAAACATAAAACAAAGCTTAGTAAAATAAACGATAATAATTTGAAAGCAGCATCGGAGTTCAGTTGTCGTCTTGATCACGTCCAAATTGAAGCCATACATGTTCAACCAAATCATTTTTTAGTTGTTGATGCATCTGTTTATCATGAATTGTAGTTCGAGCAGCCATCATATTAGCGATATTTGAAGGGATATCTGTAGAATACGCAGGAGTCACATGTGAACTTCCGATGTCTTCTCCGTGTTGGAACTCTGAAACATCAAATTGAGTGTATCCATCTCGTTCGTCTTCTACTATCATATTATGGAGTATGATACATGCTTTCATAATCTTCCCAATCTTGACTTTATCCCAAAAAAGTGCTGGATTTTTAACAATTGCAAAACGAGCTTGCAAGACTCCAAAAGCACGCTCGACATCTTTTCGGACAGCTTCTTGACGTTGAGCAAATAAAACATCTTTCGGTACTTGTGGCAATGAAATAGATTGGATAAAAGTTGCCCATTTCGGATAAATACCATCGGTGAGATAGTAAGCCAAATGATACTCTCGTCCATTAACATAGTAAGTCGCTTGCGGAGCTTCACCATTTATTATGTCATCAAAAACAGGTGAGCGATGAAGAACATTGATATCGTTTAAAGTACCTGGAGCTCCAAAAAACGCGTGCCATATCCAAAGATCATATGAAGCGACCGCCTCTAAAACGATTGTTGGTTTACCCGAACCACGTGAATAGTGTCCTTTCCAAGTTGTGGGACAATTCTTCCACTCCCAATGCATACAATCGATGCTTCCTATCATCCCGGGAAAGCCACGATGCTCGCCAATATCAAGTAGACGTTGAAGGTCAGCCGGTGTTGGTCGTCTCAGGTACTCGTCTCCGAATAAATATATTATTCCTTCCACAAATTTTTCCAGACATAATCGAGTTGTGGATTCAGCGAGACGTAGGTATTCGTCGACCGTATCTGCCGCAGTACCATATGCCACGACACGAATAGCTGCTGTACATTTTTGGAGTGTAGAGAGACCAAGCCTTCCGAGACCATCTCTCTTTTGGGCAAAAAATGGAACTTCGTTGGAGAGTCGATCGGCAATGTGCATGAACAATTGCTTGTTCATTCTGAAACGGCGTCGGAAAATATTGTGTGGATACGTCGAAGTTTCGCTAAAATAATCATTCCATAAGCGTACATTACCTTCCTCTCGATTTCTTTCGATATAAAGTCGTTTGTTTCTTTTTTTTCTTGCTTCTTGCTCACCATAAGCAATGGTTAAAGCCTCAAACGTTTGATCGAACTGTTGATCAAAAAAATCATCAAAATATTGATCTAAAGAATCATCATGAGAAGACGATGCCATTGTTTATTTTGTAGTTTGCGGTTTGATTGGTGAAATATGAGAGTGATAATAGGAATTTTGGTTGAGAAGATGAAATTGTTTGAATACTATGAACTATGAGAATGAGAGTTTATATAGACTGCACCAGATCTTTACATAAGTTGGTACAAGTTGAAAAACAAACGTGAAACATTTTAATAAGTTGTTACAATGGTTGGTACAAAGAAAAGCAACTGGCGAAACAGAAAAAACAAAGCAAAAAGACATGTCTTGTTCTGTCACGGAGTGAAGCAAGGAGAGCATGTCTTGTTCTGTCACGGAGTGAAGCAAGGAGAGCATCACGAGAGCATGTCCTGTTGTGTCAGGGAGACACCTATAACAAAGCAAAGAGACCATCAGACCCAACAAAATAAAGAAAGCAATAGACCACAGACATCTTACCAATAAATTCAAATCCATCACGGGAACAAAGTATTATCAGATGTGTCTCTCAAAGCTTGAATCTTAATAACGGTTTGGGAACACTAATTACTATCAGTGCCACATTTTCTGTTCGTTGCTAACAGAACATGGTACGTGGCTCTGATGGTAAGAAGTGCACCCACACCCATATTCAACCTTCTTCTTCATCACCTGGAGATAGAACATTCAGCATTATGTTTTCATTAAACAAGCTGTTATATTAAACAAGACATAATATTAAATAAGACATAATATTAAACAAGAAAATTCAAACAACATGGAAACAATTAAAACAGAGAAACAATTAAAACAGAGAAACAATTCATACAACATAACATTAATCATGCAACAACACAGAAATTTCAAACAACAGAGAAACATCTAAACATTAGAACAATTCTTTCATAAGTTTTTTCTTCAGAGCCGCTTCTTCATCATCTAAACCGTCTTTTCTGGCAACCAATGACTCGAGCAAACTTATTTTGGACACCCTCTCTTTCATGGTCATTTCCTCCTTTTTAATATCCCACAAAGTCTGAAACTGTTTCAGTGCATCCCCCTCCGCAACCGGCTTCTTACCTCGGGCTTTTGCAGCCTTAACACCCATGGGGCGAGTGGTTACCTCCTCATCTACACCAGTGTTAGCGTGAGAGCTTGCTGAAGCTTCACTCTCCCCACACTTCCTCTTTTTGGATGCAGATTTAGCTTCAGACTGCTCACTCCACTTCTGCTCATGTCGCAACTCCCGCCAAGCATACTCAAGTTTGAAATTTTTTTTGTAGGTTCCGAGAAATATACTGTGGGCTTCTTCGAGAATATTGTTGTCATTTTGCCCACTGGTTCTCGCTCTGTTTGCAGCTGCATAAGCGCCACAAAACTTACAAACTACCTCATTGATCTTGTGCCAGCGATTCTTACAGTGAGGTGGGCCTCTCTGCTCACACCCAGCACGCTTAGGGCTAGCATTGAAATACGCAGCAACTCGAGCCCAGAAGGCAACAGACTTTTGTTCATTTCCGACGATGGCATCTTTGCTTGTGTTTAACCACGCGCTGATGAGTACTATATCGTCAGTTTGGGTCCATGTTCTTCTTTCTTTACGAATGGCTTCAGGGTTTTCACCTAAGGGGGGAGCTTGCGATTGAGATTGTGAAGCACTATCTGCTACGTTACCGAACACAACACTTTGTTGACTAGTAAGTAAGTCAACAAAGTTACCAGAATCACTATATGGATTGAAATCCATTTTTCTAAGTCAAAGAAGACAGAAAAAAACAGATAGAAATCTGTTTAAGCTGGAAGAGATAAGAAGAGTTTTAAACAAGACAGAAAAAAACAGATAGGAATCTGTTTAAGTTGAAAGAGAAAAGAAGAGTTTTAAAGAAGAAAATGAAGACTCGCATTAACACTAAAACCAACTACCAACAACCAAATTGGTGATCAGACCCATAGCTACCTCGAATTAAACATAAAGCAAGCACTTGTTTTCATTTAACTCAACCACTTATTTAACTCAATTTACTCATTTCACTCAACTTACTCATTTCACTCAACCACAAAGCAAGCTCAGTTATTATCCGCTCAACTACTTCTTTTCATTTCCACAGAGACAATTAAATCAATACATTACCAACCAAACTCAACCATAACACATTCAATGCATACAAATCGTGCTCAGTTTACTAAATTAACAGAAGCTAAAGTAATTCGTTTCAGTTTACTTCGGCACAAACAACTCATGATTAACCAAAGCTAAATCATTTCTAAAAACTAAATCTAAATCAATTCATTTTACAGAAGCTATTTCAATTTACTTCATCACGAAACACTAAAAGAGTAACAGAAGCTAAATCTAAAAACTAACCTGTTTACACGAATGAACACCTTCATGTCTCTCGGTGAAAAACAACTCCATCTTCTTCGTTTGATCCATACATCTCAAGACAAAGACACAAACAAAACGAATTAGTCAAACCAAAATCAAACTGAATACAACACAACAAATAAATCGATCTACCATCAAATCCATTTACTATCAAATCCATTCACAATCAGACTCCAACTCAACAAAGAAATCAATCTAGAGGCAGAACAATCACAATCCAAGACATGCATGATCGGAAACCAGAACCTTTACCTTTGGATTGGAAGAGAGCCGCCAAGACAGAGCTCCGTCGCCGTCGAGTAGAGCCGAGAAACAAAACAAAGTACCCATCAGAACAAGACCAACCATAATCTAAGACATGCATTCAGAAAAAAA